CTTCGTCGTCGGCAGCAGTTGGCGGGCCGCCGCTCTATGACAGCTTAGCCGGTCAGCCGGCCTACGAGCAAAGCCAGGGCCTCAAAACGGAACCTACCCTTAGTTACAAGCCCCAGGGCCAGCCACAACGGCACTAAAGACGCTCTCTACCTGAGCACCCCACCGGGGTTGAGCCGAAACCTTGAGCCAGGCTGCAAGTTCTACAACCCCTCTTGAACCTTTCGTGGAGGGGGCCCATGACGGTTGCGGAGGCTGCCCTGAGATACGGAGGGGGAAGAGTGCGGTGATCGCGGTTACTGCCGTGGGTCGAACCCTACCTACCTACCTACCTACCTACAAAAGAGTCTGTGAAGTGTGCATTATCTACTATTGAACTGAATGTGCGCATGGTCTCCGAATGGCAGATTGTGCAGCTAAGGAAGCATATGGAGGGTGGCCAGGCGATTCGTGGCATGCTGGGTGTGTCCCGCCTGTTTTTTTTCTTTCCTTCTCTGATGCTGCATGGTCAGTCCTCTTTATGATTCCCCTGTTTTGATACGCCCCCTAGGTGGGGCCTCCAACGAAACCCTAAACCCAGGCTCGGTCTCGGAATATTGCAGCGGAAGCCTGCCAGGTCCTGGACGTGAGGAGGCGCTGCCATCCACCTGAAAGATGACCGCCTCCCCTAGTAAATGTAAAGCCGTCCATGAAGTACATTCAACAGCATGATGGTGGGCTATGGGGGTTTCAGTTTAGGGCAGGGGATCTCGCTGCACATCGGCACCCCTAAATCCGCAGGTCAAGCTGCCATCCAAGGAGGAGCCTGAGCGTGAGAAGGCAAAACAACTCGTCAAAGGTTTAGGAAATCTGGTCGGCATGTGTCAGTCGAATCGTGTGTCTCAATTTAATGGAGGTTCCAGCAATGCTGCGCAGCAGGAATGTGTCTGGCGAGGCAGGCATTCAACTACAAGAGGAAGTGTTCAAATCGTGTCAAATGCTCGGCAGGGCCTTTTCGAAGGATGGTGATGCCGGCGAAGGGCGACAAGACTGTCTACTCTTTCTCTTTTCTCACCCACAGCAGTCCAGCCGAGATTGCGCGAAGCGCTTCGGAGCAATCTTCCGGGATGATCTTCCCACCACTACTCGGTACCATCTCGCCACACGCCCCTTGGTGGCCAGGGCCACAGGACCCATAGAAGCTTGTCAAGCTGGATGGTTGGACAAAGAACCGACAACACGGCTGCTTCCTCAGAACCCTGCTTCGCTTTCGTTCCAAACTTCCCAAGGGACCCTAGCCTCGCCCTGTAAGTACAGCTCAAAACATCTAATATAAAAAAAGCCCCATGCAACAAAAAGCCCCCCCGAAGGCCCCTAAGAGCCCTCGAGTGGCAGGCAGTGTCACCACGCACCCCGGTGGCTGGCCTTCGAAGCCCTGGCGGGCAGCTCCCGCCTTTGGGAGCCCTTTGTGCAGGCTCTGAAATAGTGGTGTGTGGGCGTGTGATCTAGAAGAAGAACGCAAGCTGGAGGACTTGTAGTAGTGTGTTGAATCGTAGTTTCACCAACCTCTCGGTATTTCAGCTTGAGTTACAATACACAAATCTACCGAAGAATCTTTTGTCTCTTCTGACATTCTTGGAACTGAAAGCTAGTGAAGAGATTCAGCACCTCTATAATTCAGTATGCCTCATTCTGCCGAGCTTTTCTCGATAAATGGATATTGAAGCTTGATTAATCGCAGCTTGCAACCGCTCAGTTGAAAAAAACTAAAGATTATAGCAGATTGCGCACACAGTTCTACAACTAGGAATTAGTTGACTTGGCAATCTTTCGAGTTAGGACGGTGTACATGAAGAACAACTCAAGCAAAGCAAGGGAATAACCAAGTGGCTGTTTAGCGAGCAAGACCACTACACCACTAGTGGTAGTGTGATGAAGACGAGCTTCTGACAGTCAAAGCAAGCAAATATACAGTCACAGTGACTTGTTATTCCTGTTTGGTGATTGTCAGAGTTCACGATGAAGTATTTGGGTGTTTGATTTTTACAACGGAAAGGGCGGTTTTACTAATCAAGACTACGCCTAAAGTCCTGAGAAGTCGAATCCGGTTACGTTCATTTTCAAGCAAAATGGTTTGTCGGTCCCTTAGCTCGCAGAACCGGCCGTTGTACGATTAAGCAGACCGACCAACCAAAATGTTACAATGTAACGGCGTCAAAAATAGACCGAACTTACCAGACTTGACTACTCAAGAAATTGGTCTAGCTTTCAAGGTGAACATGGCGTGAAGACTGCGTCTCCAGTACGAAGTACAACCGGCGGGTGAGGGCACAGCAGGAATTTACAACTCCTGACTATTGATTCTTAGCCTTTTTAGTGCTGCAGCCGGTTCTGAGACGCCATCGTCGCAGATATGCAAACCTCGCACACACATACGCGCGTGTTTCTTTCATCATCTAAATTCTTGGCACTCGTTCGGATGCTGCTTCGCAGCATCCCAGTCATTCCGCTTCGCCCTGCTGAGGTTTGCCAGGGGAAGCCTTCGGCTTCCACACCCTTAACGAAGAATATTTGAAGTTTCAGCAAGCGGGCCGAGGGAGGGGCTTTGCCCCGCCCGAGGGGTGTCGGGGGTGAGCTGCCGTAAGGCAGCGCGGGGGGAAAGGGGGTGTTCATCCGCTTTCCCGCCTATTCTAGAGTGAACAACTTTATTGTTGTGACGATGGCATACAATGAAGTATTTCGGTTATGGAGTAGGAGCGCGAGGCGAAAGTAGATCTGAGAAATGGAGCGAGCGGGGAGTAGTTAGGCCATCGTCATTCCTACTATAAATAGTCTTCTCCACACGGTGGTTTTCTGACCTACGTAGTATAAAGGAGTTTGATACCGTCTCATCTCGGCCCCCGTGCGCTCGAGACGTCAAGAACGGCGACCCTGTCGGTGTTGCCGGTGGGCCTTTAGCCTCGCCTCTTCGTGCGCATAAGTCTGCGGTCTACGAAGGACGAGCGACGCCTGGAATACCGCCAGCCGCCACCAGCGAGACAGACGTTGGCTCTGCAAGGCAACAGTTCTCACACAGATACAGTATGTACCCCTGTTTCGACTCTGAATGACAGCTATCGTCAGGCCAACCGGCGATCAAGCTGGCTCTTGCCTCAAAAAGCCATAGGTTTGGAAACCGCCGTGATCCTCGGGAGATCTTGAGAGCTTCACATGTCGTGCGAGGTGTCTCCGGCGAACGTCATGCCCCTAGGCCCTCAGGCAAGCTAGGGCCTTCTGAAAGCATCCTCAACGGACTGAAGTGCCTGTACTGAGGACCCATAACGCCAAGGGCCATTGCACCAGTTGTCGCAGAGGCCCCTGTAGCATTCGACTTTGTGGCTTCTTGGAGTATCTCTGAATGCAGTAGGAGACGCTTGGTCTGGACAACCGGGAGCCTTCCAGCCGCGGATCTGTCGGCAGTCCGGGTGCCCTTTGGAAGGTTCCGCTCCACCTGTGCTTGCTGCATTTTGCTGCCTTCCTGTGTTTCTGTGCTGCTTAGAGGCCACCTTGTGTGTGTCCACTGGAGTGCAGCCGGACGGTCAGATCATTAGATAATGGTCAGGTCCGGGACTGTGATTATCTGTGATTTCAACATGGCCGCAGCCCTTTCGGCCTGCAGCGCGCGGGCGTTTTTCGCGGTGAGCCTGGTGGGCTCGGCATGTGACGTGCCTGCAAACAGGCTGCCGAGAGCTGTAACTTGAGCCGTCGAGTGTCGTTACGCAGATGGCTCTGGGTTCTGAACGTCTTTGGTTATCCACGGCAAATATTTGTAGTAAGCAGGCAAGCAAAACATGCCATTCTGATGTTCTGAATCAAGTTCGCAATTCGAGAAGACGTGTCTGGTGATGTGCAGTCGTGTGGCTACATACCGATGGACGAAGTGCTACTGATGGACGGTGGACGCAGTGCAAAAGCAAGGTACGGGTACCCTCCCGGTTATCCAGCCGGCGACGCCCTCGGAATAATCTGAGTGCGGCTTGGGAGCGGTGCTGAACTCTGTCCCCTCAGGTTACCCGCCAGCAGGCTATCCTGTCGCCTACGGGCAGCCACCACGGCACGTCTTGAAATGTCTTGAAACGAGATCTGTGCAATGTGCAGCGAGTAAGCAATCGCTTGCAGCCAGGCCTGCCTACACCGCCAGAGCCCTTTGCGATGTGCAGCATGCTGATTTGTAGCATGCTGATAAGCAAAGCAGTTTTATTACGCCAGCCGTGGACTTCCCACAGGCCGGGTATGCTCCTGCAACAGCACAGACGCCGCCTCCGACGGCCGCTTGCTCAGAAGATCGATGGTATGCTGGACAGCAGATGCCTGGTACACATGGACAAGCAGTCTTGAAAGGCCAGCTACCCGGGATACGGTTATGGCGGTGTGCCTGCCAGTCAGGCTTGGACGAGCAGTTCATGCCAAGATATGCCAAGCCAGCTTTCGCACGAAGAAACAAGCAACACTCATGGGCGAAAACTGCGAGCCTCAAGCAAATGCTATCAAAAATGGGCTCCAAGAATCCCGCCAGGCTGGCCACACTCCATCCACTTCGTCGGGGAGGCTGGAAATCCAGATTCTAGAGGGAAGACTGAAGAGGCCCAACGTCTCATCGGCGCAGAAAGTTTTACCGGCAGATGCTTGTCACGGAAGAGTCGTACCGCCTGCGATTGCAGACTGGTAGAAACACAAACCCATGTATATGCCTCCAAGCTCAAGCAGCACGATTTTTCTAACAGCTCCAAGGCATCCCGAGTCAGCAAAGCTTAACGTCACCATCTGATGGAGAAACCGTTGCACCCATGTTCCTTCATGCATGCCTATCCGATTTTCGTGCAATTCAAGGCATGTGTAATTACCCCCAAACGCTCGGAACATCTCGGAATGCTCCATGACTTGTGAAGCGTGGACTCTAAGCAAGGCTTCATCCGTCGTGGGCCCCGATTTCTCACAACCCTTGCCTGCGAGGGCAGAGAGGCTGATAGTCTCTGGCTGCAAGCATGACACTGTCGGTGGTATTGCCGCGTGCTGAGGATCGACAAGCTTTAGGTAGAGTCTCATTGGAGGCAGCTAACCCATGGAATCCACAACATCCTGGAAACGCTTGAACCAAGCTATGTCAGGCTGCACTGAGAGTTTGTCATTTGTGCTTGGCTGTGCGAGCAACCTTGCTCTCCGCCTTCCGTCATGCCTGCAGATGCCCAGCACACGAAGTCACCAAGTGTTCCCGGTGCGTGCTTGCACTGTTCGCGGCAAGGTCAGGGGTGAATTTAACCTCCAAAGCGACAACCACGGAAAGCCAGTCTATAAGAAGAACGGGCAGGCCAGGTTGATAGGTATACTTCTTGCATTGCTTGCTGGCGTCTCCCTCGTGAGCGTGTTTGCCAGGTCAACGGCCTGGACGTCATGTTATATTTCTGGCAGGGCGCCGAGCTTCGCCTACGCGTGTCGATTTGCCACTTGCGTCTCATTATGACCAGGGACGATCGAGATGGCCCGGACTTCTGTGGCTGGTGGTTTGGTCCAAAGGCCGCCGACTGCCACCACGTTGCTCCACTGACATCAACATGCCGGCGCAGCAGTCAGGTTGGCGGAGATCAGGTTTGGGCTTACCACCCAGAGAAGGCGCCAACGCCGCCCCTGAGCGGGTGGAAGGCCTCGAGCAACTGCAGACAACATGTCAATGTCAACCCAAGCTGCAGGGCAGCCAGAACACCAACACAATTGCTTGCTTACTTACCTACTTTCTTCCTCACTTACTCACTTACTTGCTTCTTCCCTTGGGCAAGGTGCCTTACGACGGCCCTGTCGACAATACTTTTATATTGCAGCCTGCATCAGGCCCTGGGAAGCTTTCAACCATCGGTCGTGCACTAGAGTGCATCCACCAGCGCCAGGCTATCCGAAGCAACCCCCAGGGCGACTTGGCAGCATGTCCTCTTCATCGCCACTGCTACTGCCTGTACCACTCTTGCTGCCTTAGTTAATCACCACTGCCCACCACCCCCACCACGTCCACTTTTCCACAACCCCCGCACCACCACTTTTTGCTTTCCCTCAAGTCCCTCGCCTCCAATCATCTTCATGCTCTCGACGCTGTATTCTGAGTGCTCATCCTGCCTCAGAGGTATCCACCGCCGTACGGGCAACCGGCACCACACCAGGATTTTCAGATGCGTCACGGTGTTTCCTCAGAATGCCTAATGAATCACAGTTGCCCTGAGGCACCCGGCGTGCCCCAGCGAAATGCCTAGCATTGCCTGTAAATGATTTCGCATGTGCACTGTTGCTCGTCGTCTCTGCGCTTGCCTTGAAGTATCCTTGCTGCGTGTAGCTGAGGCCAGCGGCTTATGGCTATGGTGCGCCACCAGCCCGGGCCCCTATATGAAAACGCAGTCTCAGCACGGCGGCGTAGCATCATAGTTTCGGATGTCCAGGCTTATGGAATGCCTCCGGCATACGGGCCATCACCTCATACCGACTCATTGCGACCCATGGCGACCTTGCGCGGCTGGAGGCATTTTCCGGAACGGAAATGCACAACCAAGGTATGGGGGGCCACCATCCTACGAGGCCCTCCGTGGAAGTACAGACACGATCAGACAAGTGCGTCCATCATCAGAATCATTAAAGACAAAATAGTCATGAACGAAGATAAATGCAATTAAGCGCTTGCACGCGCACGCGCCGCCTCGGCAGCCGGCCGGCCCAACCCCAGAACATGCATGCCAGCGGTCCGAGAAATTTCCGGTCCGCACAGATACAGAAGGCGAGCACGGGTCGACGAGAAAGAAGCCGGCACGCGGGAGAATCGTAAATCCGAAACCTTGAACCCACGGTGTAGGTGAGATTGTGGGCTGGATGACCCCTGATTCAGTTCATTTGTTGCCTGCGCTCGTATGCTTGCTGCAAAATCCTGGGTAGGGTGCCGCGAGCTGCCACGAAGTCAAAAAGGCAGCAAAGCGCTGTGCAACAGGGTGCACTTGTTGTCTGTGCTCGGGGTTGTTGTTACGTGAAGTTTGGGTAGGGCCGGGTAGGGTGCAGGGAGGTGCCAAGAAGTCAAAAAGGCAGCGAAGAGAGGTCGTGGGGCTGCAGGGGTTCCCAACAAAACTCACGGGGTCCCAGAATGATTGGTGTGGGACTGGGTTGGTGACAAGAGTCTGGTCTGCTTGTTCCAGGCGCTTGTCGGCCAGAGGGTCGAGGTAAATAACAAAATAACAAACAAAGCAAAGCGACGGAGCAATGCAAAGCAGATCACTCGCTTCAAGGCACCCGAGAGGGCACCCGAGAGGTCAAGACGGGATGACCGGCGGAGGGACGAGGCCTCCCGAGCATCCTCACAGCGAGTTCGTCGGAAGCGTACCCTTTCACACTCGGATTTGCGCATGGCTCGAACGGTCTGCCTGGTGGCTGAACGGCTCAACCTGCATTGTGCTTATAGTGGCCTTGGAAGGTCTAAGGAGTCTCAGGCTAAGGTTGGCCTTGAAAGCAATGCAGGGAAGCACTACAGTTTCAAAAAAGCGGCACTTGTCAGGATGACAGGAGGAAGAAGGATGAGGACCTCCATGGAAAGCATTCAGCGAGCGGTCGTCTTGCTGGACTCCGGGCATGCGCATTCAGGATGTGAAAGAGCGGCAGCGTTTCCACCTCGGCAGACCTCCATAGCAACCACATCGTTGAAAAAAAATTATGTTGAGACCTATCTTCACATCTTGACCTACTCCATCTTGCTTTTCATTGCCGGGACGTGCGCCGGTGATCAGTCTGGCTGCAGTTTAGGCAATGCCGAAGAAGGGCGGAAATCTGCAGCCAAAAGAAAAGAGGAGGCCATCCTTGCTTGCAGCGATTTCGGGTTACCCTTTATGCCTGTCAGGATGCAGCGCGGAAGAAAGAGCTTGAACAGAAGCAGAAGGAGGAGGCTACGTCTTGGCAGCATGCTGACCAAAATGACCACGAAAAGCTCCTTGTGGCCTGGGAGGCAGCCAAACAGAAGAAGGATTTAGAGGAGAAGAGAAGGCAAGAACAAAGGTCGACCCTGGCCATAAGAAGGCCAGGGCCTCCACAGCTGGCAGCTGCCATATGGAAGATGTAGACCATGGGAGCAGATTCTTTCGAGAATCGCAGTATCGGATCGAGGCATTTAGAGCATCATGCCAAGATACAAGTTGTGCAGACATGTGCAGACTGTTCGTGGCCAGGGTCATCCAAAAGATCAGATTAGCCTCACCCGAGACCTTCGACGAGGTTCAAAAAGAGCTTCAGGCCCCAGCACATAGCACATGGGAGCAATCTTGGCTTCGGCAAGACGGCACGAGTTGCGCTCAATGTCCTGAGGAGATCCTCAGGGTGGAGCTGGAAAATACTGGCAGCCAAAAGGAGCGCATCAAAGAGGCACAGGATGTGCTTCGCATGGCGCATGGCAGCTGCACATCCAACACGATATGCCGAACAGGAAAGCGAGAAAGGCCTGGAGCAAGCAAGGAAAAGACTCGACAGCATCAAAGAGCAGCGACAGAAAGAGCTAGCCACCGCCTCGGCCAATCAACTGGTGACGATTTCGCACCATCGTTCCCTGCCAGTCTGCAAGAAGAGCGCGCAGCCACACTCAGCTTGCCAACCCTGCAATCTTTATTTTTGAAAGGACAAGAAGACGGCGGAGGAAAAGAAACGATTAGAGCAGCAAGCCAAGACAGATGAGCTCCTCAAGGCCGGACGGACTGGCAATTGTCGGGCTTTTGGTCTCTCAGCGATTCGTGCGATTCGTGTGAAGAGGAGCTGAGCGCATTGGTGGAAACAGCCGAGACGGGTGTGACCCGATTGAAGGACAGCTGCGAGACACTGCGCTGTTCATTCTGGTTCTAGAGCATGGTTCAGGAACCAGGAATCGGGAAGCTTCGGCGATTCCGGAAACTTGTTTCGCACGATTCAGGAAACCGCGCGATTCAGGAAGCCAGGCGATTCAGGAAACCGGCTTCACGCGATTCAGGAAGCTCGCAAACTGCCCGATTCAGGAAAAGCAGCGGGGGACGGGGGGTTGGGGATGACAACGTTCATCACGGTGCTTTCAGAAGACTTCACGATTCCCAAGTCCACGTCCGATGGGACACCATGCATGGTTTACAGTTTCCGCGGTTCACGAATCTTCATTTTCCAGTTTCCCGACTCGCATTCTTCCAGTTTCCGAATCCGCTGCTGGCCTACAGTTGCACATGGCATGTGAGCACTACTGTAGGCCCTGGCGCTGCGTCATCTCATTTCTTTGCCAAACCTAACATTTTCAGCCGCTTCAGAAGTTCAAGGAGTTGGCGGCGCCGCTGTCCGACAAGATCGAAGACAGCGTTTGCCCGACAAAGTTTCCCTTAAAGGTTTGAGGCTCCTTGCAAAGTTTCAGATGAGCCCTTTAGATCACTTCCCACACACACATACAAGTAACGAAGACACACTTGCCACTCCCTATCTCGACATGCTGGTGACAGGAATGCACACCAACATTCCAAGAGTAATTGTCCCACTGTGGTAAGCATGGGCATGTCAGGTCAAGGAGGTCGAGGCGTGCGCTCTTGCTGTGGAAGAGGCCTGTGGGGTGAACTACATCAATTCAGCAAAGTTGTGTTCATGATGTCAAGGAACGAAGAAGGCCCATGAAGCAAATTCTCTCGCAAGAATGGTTTAGCAAACAACCGGAAGCTGGTGTCCGCAAGTTTTTAGCAGATCGAGTGCACCGCCTTGGCTTGGACCACCGAAACAACTCGTCTGCTGCTGCAGAGCCCTGCTACAGTAGTGCCTGCCACCTGCGATTAGAAGCCGAGTTCTGGAGTCTGCTGACTGCGGAGAGTTCTCCCCATCAGGACGTGACCAGATTCCCGACCTTACTAATTGAGTAAGCCGCGAGGCTGGCAGCGATGCCAAGACCGCCACCAAGGCCGGAGGATGTTCCGAGCTGGAGAGCGTGTGCCATTTTGAGTCACTCCGAGGCTTGCACCGACTTCATCCTGGTCAATGGCAACGACATCAAAGACTCTGCACCTGTCCTGGCGATCCCTGGCATTCAGGCAACAGGCGAGACCAAGCAGGCCGGTGATGCTTTAATCAATTCTGCATCTGGAAGGTACCAGTCAAGACCATGTGAGAAAGAGTAGAGGTAGGTCGGAGGAGGTGTAGTAGTAGTTGTAGTAGTAGTAGCAGTAGAGGAAGCAGTAGGGACCAGTTCACCAGTAACAGCAATCATTGTAGTCGAGTAGTCGTCACTGGTAGCAGCTCCAGCAGCAGGCTTTGGGAAAGCTCTTGCAGCGCATCAATGAGCCCGGGGCACAGACCATGCAGACCATGATTTTGGAACGCAGCTGGAAGGCCTCCAGCCTTGAACAAAACCTCTGCAGGTGCGGCAAAACTGCCGAGTCGTTGATCCAAGCTGCAAGAGGTCTCACGGCTTTTGCGGCTGACTTGCAGCTGTTGTGTCGCCCCACACACAGAGACCCAGAACACCTGTTATGCGAGGAGCCAAAGAGCAGGCTGTCAGGCGCGCCTTTGCCAGGCAGAAGACCAAAGAGATGGAGGCATGTCTGGAAGCTAAACATGAATTCTATATATATATATACAAATAAATATATACATATATGCATATGTACATATATACATATGTACGCATATACATGAATACATATGTACATACATACATATATGCCTATATAGGTAGATACATATATACATATATACATATATACATATATACATATATACAAATTTACATATATACGTATATACATATGTACATATATAAATACATGTTATAAATATATCTATAAATAAATAAATAGATTAGCAAAGAAACACATATAAATAAATAAATAAATAAATATATATATATATATATATATATATCTGTGCAGATCGCTCGCATTGCTCGCCGCAACTGATCCTCAGGCCATGTTTGCAAAGTACGACAAGGACAAGGACAACGTGCTGAGCCAAGTGGAGGTCATCATGCGTCATGATTAGGAATCACTTCAGCTGCTGGAGCAGTTGGCATTGTCAACCTCACTCTGGGAGGTTGTTGCATATGCCAAGAAAGAGATGTCGGTGAACGTAGACAAGGTCCGCTAAACGTGTGAACTTGCATTTGACCGGCAAAAGTCTTGGCAGAGTCTTGGCCCTGAGGCCCTGCTCGAGAAAGTCTGGAAATGCACTGTGGACGCTGACGAGAAGGGTGTAGTTTTCGAGAAGTTCGGCTCTCACACTCTTCAAGCAACACGTGCAAGTTGTGAATGGTTCTTCTGAACATCAGTTCTTGGATTGAGGATGTCCTTGTTGAACGCCTCCATCGGCATCGCGCGGGAGATGCAAAGAAACGAGCCCCTTGCCTGAGTGGTCCGCTCGTGGTCCGCCCCTGGAAGCAACTAGGATGCTCGCGCATCCACTCGAAATAGCGAAATATTTTTGAATTGAATATTCGGTTCAGACTTCAAAGCTCAGCTACCACTACGCTATGAGCACGTGAAAGCTTGTTGACGAAAGGCATTCCATCTACTTTTGTTCGTAACATCTGACACAACTGCGGCAGCAGTTACGCAAGAAATAAAGTTGTCAGCAAGGCGCCGCAAAGCAGCGCGGATAGCAAAGGCAGGGCTGAGACCGGTGTCAGTCGAAAGTCTGTCCTGGTGTCCTCCCCAATAAATCCTTTGCAGGAGCGGGTTCTGGCAGGGCTTCGGGAGAAGGTGAGGGCCAAAGTTCGTGAGGCGCCCTTCGAGTTCATCGAAGATTTGTCTCTGGCGTCTGATGTGCTTGTTTTTCATCTAGTTTTCTGTGTTTTGGCTGTGCGATGGCTGTGTGATGGTTGGACTTGCCCACTCCCAAGCTCCATGTTCGAAGGCAGAGCGCTTCGCAATGGAGTTCGAGAAGGATTTGCGAGATTTGAGAGTAGTTTTAACGCTGCGCGACCCGCCTCTGCCTGGCACAGCGCAGCCCCCTGAGTCCGCAACCATGGCACCTTCAAACTCTGCAGCTGCACAGGGTCATACAGGCGTCTAGGGCACTTTAGTCGGGGATCCGGATCCGGCAACACCTCGTCCCAGTAACATCGTTCAGGGAGCGAGGGTGTCTCTGGGAACTCATCAGGGGGTTGGGGGTGTTAGAATCGTGAAAACCCCCGGGTGCAAGCTACAAAAACACTTAACTTTACTGCCCTCAAGCCCACGCAGTGCCAACTCACAAAGGCGGCCCTGAGGTCCGAAAAGGACTCCCAACAAGCCTGTAATGGCGACGTGTCGCCCGCGTCCTGCACTGACGAATTCAGCTTGCGCAAAACAAACAAGTGCAGACCTTTGCATCGCGTTCAGGTGAGGGGATACTTGGAATATCTTGGCATGGCACAGTCCCCACAAACGAGCAAGAGTCATGGAACGGGAAAGGTCAATCAGAGGCGGGGTACCTGTTTCATGCTCCCCTGACAACTGCGGCCCAAGGCCTCGGCGGATTTTAAAAGCACGAATGGATTCCAAAACCCAAATGAGCCCTCCCACGACTTGTGACAGGAGCTCCGGGCAACAGAGAAGGTCGTAGCTCCTTTGTTTGCCAAGGCTCATTCTGTCAGAGTGCTTATTCGTGCTAGCCGTTGAAGAACGGAGCATGTTTCTGTGAAGTGATACCAGGCCAAGACGTCTCCCTTTCTTGAAATGGAGGAGGATGCAGACCATTGCGACAGCTTGGTCAAGGCCAGCATGTTCTGCATGTCTGTCGATCGAGCTGGTCTGTACAAGCTGCACTGTTGGTATATCTGAGGTCTGCTCCAAAATGCCGCTACTTGTACCGGGTAGCATAATTAGCCGAGTGTTTCGCAGGCTTGCAGAGCGACGGAGGAGAAGATGCTGCAGCGGGTAAAATCCATTCCGCTTGGCTTCGATAAGTGGCTTGCCTGTGATGGCTGGGATAGGAAGGATGAAGCCGTCATAACTTGTCACAGGCACAGGCTGGCAGGTGTTGCCTTGGCATTCTATGACAGGTGAGTCATGGATTTCGTATGAGTTCTCGGGCAGGGGATTTAACTCAGGAAGTACGAGGACGACCTGAGGGAGTTCGTCAAGATTGAGGCATGTTCGCGTGCCTCAAGATTGAATTGCGACATGTGCGGGTGATGAATGTCTGTGAGAAGCAAAGTTCGATCAAACCCTTGCAGACGAAGCCCTTGGAGTCTCGAATGGGTCGTGCGGACCTGCGCCTTGCAAGAGCTGCTAACCTCAGCAGGCGGCACCGTGAGCAGGCAAGAAAAGCGACTACAGTTCTGTCAGTCCATGTCAACAAGTTTGCATCGTCTTTCCGCTACATTGCAGGGCTGGCGCAGAAGGGCACAGGAGATGGAGGTTATCCGCAGCTTTGCCATGAAGGCTCCAAGCTTTGGCGGAGCTTTGAAGACTGGATTTGCTGTCAGACATGTCACATCATGTCACAACTCAACTGCCGTCAAGGTGGCACGCCAATTTGCCAGACTCAACAAATTGACCTACGAGGAGACCGTCTGCTACACTGCTACACGAGACGGTGTGCTCATGTTGCGAAGGGCGGCGTATGACCTTCGATCTTCTCAGACACGTGGCCTCCTCATGCTTGTTCAAAAGGGGTTTCAACGCGCCAGGAGCTCTTTGGCCACGTAGACTCGGATGGTGATGGAGCTCTGGATGAGGAGGATGCAATGATGTAATTATCCTCAGCAGATGAGCATGACAAGCCTTTAAAAACACCGCATGATTCAGAATGCCTCAGAACAACCTGCTTCTCGACGAAAACTCCTTCGTAGGAGTTCATCTCGTTCTTCTCCGCGATCGACAAGGCTTAACCGGCTAAGCTTGAAGTAGTGGCATGAAAGAGCACATAAGAGCACGAAAGTGTGGCGCCAAATTCCATGCAACCTTGAACTTGGATGACCAGGATGTCAAGGAAGAGGAATTTGAGCCCGAAGAGGTCGTGGCGGAGGAAGAGCCCGAAAAGCCGGTGCAGGCTCCAGCACTCGTGACTTGGCACATCCACTGCTGTGGAACCTGTGGAAACCTGAAGGTGAATGCATTGGAGGAAGCCGACAACGATGGAGTAGAGGACACGAACGTGACGAACTCCATCAATGTAGGCACTGCGCTGGACCAGGACCTTTGCATGCGCGCTTGCGCACGTTTGTGCAGATGTGCAAGGTATTGCAAGGTCTCACTGAGTCTCACTCGTACCAATGATGGCATATGTGTACCATTAGCAATGCAGTAGCCATCATGCTGGGAACGTGGCGTTCCTCTCCAGGCCCCGCTTCTGCAGGAGGCTGCAAGCCGCTTGCAAGCGATAGCGGCCATCATGCTGCAAGCGACCCCCAAGCCGAAGCCGAAGCCGAAGCCCGTGGCAGCTGGATTGCATTCTTTCCTGGGATGGGGGTGGGCATCTGTCTCAGCGTCTGCTTGTAGGATACGACAATGTTGAGGGAGGTACCGGTATGGTTCCTTGTTTCTGAATACTGTTCAAAGCGGTCGGGCGAGTTGAAAGTCCATCCAGATGAGACTATCTCTGCAATAAAGTGCGCTTGCTACTGTCTGAGGCAAAGGCAGAACTGACCTCGGAAGAGCTGAAAAGGCAGTGGGGGAGTCACCGGCAGAAGAGCAGTGTGCAGCATCATGCCACTTGAAATTTCGGAACAGCTTGCCACATGCCACAAGATGCCACAAGCCCTGCTGGCGCAGTCTCTTCCGAAACCTCCTGGAGCCGCACGAAGTGAAGATCTCTCGCGAGGCCACGGCTTGCCATAAAGAATTTGGGTTCCCTATAGGAGCCTTAGGCGGCACGGTGCAAACGTGGGAAAACCACAAAATCCCGATGGTCCGATTGTTGCTCTGGCTATTGGCTATAGGTGCTCGTGTACATCAAGCACGTACGCACACAGAGGTGGAGTCTAATCCAAATCGCACTCGACAGCCAGGTCTTTCTTCGTATAGTCAAGGTGTACTACAAAGTTGTGAAGGACGCTGGTGAATGCTGGTTCGCATCCAAACGAGCTACAACTGGAAGCACGTATGTGAGGAGACACCAATGACGGAGAAGTTAGAGGTCAACGGCAGCCAGACTGTCCACCAACTCAAAGTTGGCGAGGCGCATCTCTTCTTTTGTGCTGAGCTTTGCGAGGAGCGCACGTGCCGCATGTGCTCCGAACTGGCTCCCGCAGCTTTGATCCTCAGAGCGGGCTTCGCTGTTGCAATCGGGTTTCCAGGGCTGCAGCTGAGTCTGCTCGGAGGTCACCAGAGCCGCTTTAGATCTGCTTACCACTGCCTCTCACTGTGCACAGACATGCACCGGTTTGCTCATGGACCTGCACAAGTTTCGCCGCATGCTGCGTCTGGGATCCATGGTCCAAGTGCCGTCCTCAGCATGGGAGAATCCGAGCTTCCCTTGTTATTCAGGCTCCTTGGAATGCTGAAGCTGCTGAAGGTGAGATTCCCAATCCCTTCCAGACACTTGGTCAGTGTGAAGCCCGAAGCGCTCGGCAAGGACCGGAACCAGGCCAACAGTCGTGCAAGGGTTGGCAATTTGTTTTCGGGTTTCTGTTGTGGTACACATTCTTCGGAGCCCTGATGAGTTAAGGGTTGTTTTTGTCTAAACCCTGTTGCCTTTGCATTCTTCTTGTTGTTCTTTTTTGTTTTTGTGTGTTGGCTTCTTCTTGATCTGCATGTTGCTTCGTTTCGATTGTTGGGTGTTGCTTGTTTTCTGCTTGCTTTGTGCTATGCTATGCCTTCTGCTTTCCGCTATGATGCTTCTTGCGTTTGCCTTTTGGTTGTGGCCTGTTTTCGTTCTATTTTTGCTTCTTTCCTTGCCATCCCAAGCCCGTTGTGTGTTCTGCTTTTGCGTTTTTGGTTCGCGGTCTGCTTTCATGCTGCATGCTTTTTGCTGGCTTTTGTTTGCCCCCCCCACCCCCCTCCCCCGTGAGACTTGGAGAGCCTGTGTAAAGAAAATTGTGGAATGGAGTAGGAGTGCTTTGTCTATGAAACTATAGAAGAAGCACAGCCGAGAGGAACGGGATGAAAATCTAACACTTAGGGTTAAGCATAGATTGTGAGATGAGAAATCGGGGGGGGGGGGGGGGGGGGGGGGGGGGGGGCGCTGGAAGGAAGGGAGGAAGGAAGGAAGGAAGGAAGGAAGGAAGGAAGAGAAAGATGAGTTGAAGTTTGTCCGTCAGAGTATGGACTCCGAAAAACAAAAGCAACAATACGCAACAATACATAACTTGACATGAATGAGGGTTTTCCCACTGCAACATAGAGAAAATGTAGGTTTGCTGTTGGGACAAAGCCGTTTGATTAATGGCGGGAACTTCGGTGTCGCACTGCGCAGGCCCGAGGTTCCCCCCCACAACGGTGAAGCTTTCCTTTTTGAAGGAGAGCAAATAGAGGCTCCCTCATTGTGACGGGATGCAGACGAGAGCGGGCGAGAGCATAATTAGATCACAAAATGCGTGCCGGACTTGGACGAGCGCAGGAGTTCGAATACAGAATGCGTGCACGACCCACGTGAGAGCGCGATATTGACCCTAGGTGAGAGTGTCGGTTTAGGCCTGCAACGATTCAGAGTTCCTCCCTAAACAAGAAGTATCCTTAGCTGAGCCTATGAGGACAAGTCAGCGAGCCAGGAAGTGTGGAGCGACATGAAGAAGCTGAACGCCGCAGCCGTGCGTCTCAGCTTCATTCTTCAAGCCATTGTGTCGCATTCGGTACGATTTCAATACATGTCTATGTGCTGCTTGCTGATGGTTTTTCGTGCTCCCAATATCAGTCACTTCCTTACCAAAGCATGACAGGCATGGCGACGTTGGGCGTGCAGATTGCATCTTCAATCAGCTGCGCGGGAAGGTTCCACCCGAGATGCGTCGAACTTTGCACAACACTCGCTTGAAGGCTTTGATGCAAAAGACTTCAAGTTGATGTTTGGCGCGTAGGCAGTGGTTATTTGCTACGTAGATTTTTGACTGGACGAAAGAAGTGAGATGAAAGGCCTGTGCAAACGCGGGAAGTGCCGAGCTGGCGGTGCAGTACTACGAAGAGATGCTGAAAGATGGCATCCGACCGAATGGTCGTACTTTGGGCAAGCTCATGGAAGCAGCTGCGAAGCAGTGCAATCGGCGTGAAGCACAGCGCTGGTTCAGTGCACTGTCGAACGCACAACAAGATGTAGAAGAGCTGCACGTCCACATGCTGGTGGATGCAGCTGCAAGAGAAGGCGACTTCTATGCAGCAGAAGCTTGGTTCGCGCGATTCTCAGCGGACCATGTGCTTGCACCGAGTATTTGGAATGCCCTGCTCTGTGCTGCGGCACGGGCCGGTGATGTCACACTTACTGAGAGTCTTCTTCTGAAGTTTGCAAAATCGGGAATGCAACCGGACCAATTAACCTTTGCGGTGGTCGCACTTGCGACTTTGGAGGCCAGTGGCTCCAGTGACCGCGGAATTGACTGTATCGAGAAGTGGTTTAGCAAAGCAGACGATTTCCTGTGCCCCGAGGACAAAGTTACTTCAATGGCACGTGTTGCAGAAGGTGCGGCCAAGATGGGCTGCCTGGATGTTGCGCAAGATCTGCTCCAGCGCATGGACACCGGGCTAGCAACCCTGGATGGCTCGGAAGGCACAGTCCACCCTGCATTGAACTCGGCATGTTTCGAAGTGGCCCGTGCACTTGCGGTGCAGGGTCCGGGTCTGCTGGAGGTTTGGATTGAGCGAGGCCAAAAAAAGGGTCAAGATGGTGAGAAGGGCTCAGAAGCGTGGCTTCGGCGAAGCTGTCTAGAGCTCGTGAAAGTCTTTGCTTCCCGGAACCAACTGAGCAAGGCCGAACAGACGTTTCTGCTTTTGCAACAGGCTGGCGGAGCTGATTTGCAAGCTTTCTGCATCATGGTGAACGCGGCTGCAAAATGCGGTGACCTTGTTGCTGCCGAGCGCTGGTTTGAGCGCGCCTTGGATGCTGGGTTAAGCCCCGACATTGTCCTATTCACGTCTGTCGTGGATGCCGCTTCTCGCAAGGGTGATATGAAGGCTGCAGATTATTGGCGCAAACGCGCAGGAGCTTTTGGCCTGAAAGCGAGCAAGGAAATGCTGGGTGCCCTGGTGCATGGAGAAGCTCGAAAGGGCAACTTGCAAGGCGCGCAGCGCTGGGCAGAAGTAGCACGGCAGGAGTATGGGCCAAACTTGGTTATCCTGAACTGTCTTATCGATGCACATGCAAAAGACGAGGACATGAGGTCAGCTAAGAGAGTTCTGGACAGAGACATCATTGGTAGCGGGCTCCAACCGGATGAGAGAAGTTTTGGGCCGTTGATCAATGGATATGCTGAGCAGGGACTCTTTTCGGATGCGTTGAGATGCTTTAGAGCTATGTCATCGCATCAAGTGAGGCCATCTGTTGTGCAGTTCAACCAGCTTCTCAAGGCGTGCGCCCGATCTCGCCCCAGATTATTTCAGGAGGCATTGCAGATCTTCGATGAGCTGATGAAGGCATGGGCAATGCAAAAACAGAGGAATTCGACGGTTACTACCAGGCAGATCAAGCTTCAGGAGCTTCACGACCTTGCGCCCACTCGAATCACACTCAAGACTCTCGGTCGCTGCGTGGGCGCACGGCGCCTGTCGCAAATTTGCAAGGCAGGGACTTCCCAAAATCAGCACCTTGATAGTGTCCTTGTTCTGAGAGTTAAGAACGACAGCATACGCGTTCTGAAGTTTCGGCACAGAGCTTTGGTCCCAGAGGAGTATGGCATTGACCAGGAGAAGTTGCTTGGCACCAGATTCAACGCAGAGGAGCAGAAGCGGGCGTCTTCCACTGCTGAGAGACGGATGTTCGAAGAAGGGGAGAGCCGGAAAGACGGAACGCAAGTGTGGCACTCTGTAGCCCCGCACGATCATTCCGACCCCACGCATCTCCTTGAGTTTTGAGACGTCTTAAGTTCGGTCGCCTGCCAGATCTTGGAAATGCTCGAGGGCCCCGAAAAGGAGACTTCCTTGAAGGCAAGCACCCGAGCAACTGGTGATCAGTTCTCTTGCCGGTGTGCTATTTTGCGAATTGTTGCCAAGCCGTCAGGTCTTTCGTGCCAGGGGGAAGGCCTGGTGGAAACACGGAAGAACAGAGTCGGAGAGAGAAAGAGAGAGAGAGAGAGAGAGCTAGCTCATGCCCCGTAGAAGAAGAACAAGAAGAAGAATAAGAAGAAGAGAGAGCTAGCGAGAGCAGCGCTGCACCGTGAGAGCGTACATGCCAAGACTGAGACTGCAGGTGGTCGGGGATGAAAACGACAAGGACTCTTCAGTTTTCGCATCTCGTTTTGAGAAACCCACATCTGCCCTGGTCTATTCTGGGCTTCCTGCTGTGACAGGAAGGCTGGGTTACCATTGCAGGCAACCAGGGCACAATTTTCCTTCAAGAGGGGGGTCACCTGTGGAAGGCCAGCCTGCTTTGCTTGAACTCTAAGTAGGGGCTTGTTGTCCCAGATCCTGCAAGCGAGGACCACGAAGTGCTTGTGTCACAGACCATGCATTCTGTCCAGGTCCTCAGGCAAAGTGAGCTCTCTGAAACTTTTGAGGCCTGAACCGACAGAATGTTTGGTGTGTACTTTCCTCCTTGCGTCCTGGCACGCCTGATGCCAGGACACCCAGCCAAAGGCAGGTGTCCGAAAAGTCAAGGAGGGGGAGGCGGCTTCCCACAAAGCTTTTTCTTGACCGAGCGATGTCAGGCTTTTGTTTTACCTTGAAGGTCGCAGCTCAGGTTTGAACCGCACAGCTGCCTGCACAAGTGAATGTCCGTGCAGGTGTTAGAGGTTCTGACCTGGCCAAAGAAAGATGAGGAGTCGGTGCACGCGGGCACAAGCTTCATGAGTTTCATGGAGCCTGCATGGTATGTCTGGGGAGTGGTGGAGTGGGACCTTTTTTCGCTTCTGGGCTCTCAGGTCTGGCCTGAAACGGCTGCGAGTCAGGGCGAAGATGGATGGAGCAGCTAGGATGCAGCGTTTTTTTTTTTATCGATTGAATTCTGGCAGTGAAATTTGTGCTGGCAAATGCCCTTTAGAGCTGGGTTCCAGCTGAGGCGATCGGGTGGATAACTCAGATCAACAAGGACTGCCTGTTGCGATGTGGTTTTTGTTTTCCGTTTGGAAGAGCTGACTCGGTCCTGACTCGGAAGGATGGCACCGTTCTTGCCGATCCTATCTGACAACTCCTTCTGCATCCGCCGTTTACCCGCCATTATGGAACGCATCTTTGATTCCAAGGAACTATATGATCTTATGTTGTGCATTGTGCAGCTCTGCGTGGCAACCATGACAGAGTGTCGCAGAGTATCCACGGAGCTATGGTGATATTGCAAGAAGACCAGTGCAGATCACGTTGTGACAACTCTTGCAGTCATACTGCCCGATGCTTCTATTGATATTCGGAGATTGTGGCGAAGCGTCAAGCCCCCTTAGATGATGCGCTTCCCCTCGGTGTTCTGAAAATGTGCTTCAAGGCAGCGCGTTCCCGCGCGTGCTGGAGCCTGGGTTCTTGAATCATGAACTTCATAATCGTCGCAGCCGTTTTCGGATACTGGCGATGTGCGCAAGAACCCAGATGCTCGCAGCCACTGCCTTTCTGCGTTGAGATTTGCAGAGCGAATCTGCAAATAGACGGGGAGAGAAGCCTCCGCGGCATTCGTGCAACTGGCTAAATGACATCCCGAAGCCTTGCCAGCAGCTTTCAGTAGGACTACAGTGACGGATCAAACGATATCAAATGGTCATTGCCCCAAAGGTCAGAAGGTGCAAGCAGGGACCATCATGAGCATCATCTGCATAAATCTGCATCACTCCAGTGCAGTCCAGGCCAAGTCTTACCTGACACAAACTCCGATAAACAAACCCTGCGTCGACATTCCTTTGATCAGGCAGAGCTCATGTTGTTCCAAAGCTGCCTGGGACCGGTCAAAGAAGTCGTTAAAGTAAGAGCCCCCAAGACATGCAAACCTGTCCTAACGCGGCTATGCCAAGTTCACCCCAAGCCGCCCAAGCCCCGGTGACATGAATCAAGGATCACCTGTTACCTGCAGAGGCTCATAACCAAACCTCTCATGTCGGCTGAGAGGCTTAATTGGTTTTGCTAGGCCAGTGCAGGAGAAAGAGCGAGGGGAAAGCAGATGCACCGTGCTAACAAGACAATTTCCACCTGCATGTCATCATTGACTGCACTGGGTAACGTTGCTGTTGTCATGGACGGCCGTTTTGGCTCAACAGCTCCATACAGTAGTGTTCCATAGTGTGTTCAGTTGTCAGTGCTTTGTAGAGACGCTGTGAATTGGCATTCCCTGGGTGCATAAAAACACATGGCAACATGGAATTTCGTATATATAATATATCAAGAGAGAAGAGATCTTCATGGTGCAATTGTTACAGTAGCCGTTGCATCATCTTGTGAGAAGCAGCAGCAGCACAACTTGCATACATCGACTGTGACGTCGTAGCGCGCCCGCCGAGGGCCGAGATGAAGATCTTGGGTTGCTCGTGTATCTGAGTTGTTCGTGATTGGGTACATGCCGCACGTGTGCCGAAGGTCACATGCCAGCTTCTGACCAGGCAAGGCAGCGGAGAACAATGTTCGTGGTGTTTGCGGATGATGTCCATGTTCTTGCAGGCACTCGTAGTCCTGGCGGACTCGCAAGGAGACTCCGAATAAAGAAGGCCACCGTCAGACGTGACTGGCATGAGTGCGGCCAGGCACCTCCGAAGTGAAACCTTCGCGTGCGTCGGGCTCATCGCTGCAGCAGGTCGCAACATGTTGGATTCTCTCACATTTGCTCTTCTCGAGTCTTTTTTTTTTTTGCGTTGATTCGTTGATCTTAAGCTGGAATGTGGCTCCGGTTCGGCAGTCGGCGCAGGCAGCCGATGTGCTGCTGCGCGCTATCAAGGAGGCCGCAACTGGAGACTAGAGACCGGTACTTGGTACTTGGTACCTTTTGGACAAGTTACAGGCTTCGATGTCTATTGCAGGCGCAAAACACAGAGCAAGCTTTGAGCTCAAGAGTCGTGTGCTTGGAGTCGGAACTCAAGGCAGGATCGGCGTGAAAATAGCACTTCAGATTTAAGCAATTTTCCCGTCTGAGTGGCAAGGGAAGAAGGGAGCAACGGGAGAGGTGGAGCGCAACTCGAGCATCTGGTGTCGTTGCTTGTTGCTGGAGCCACGGCTTTCAAATCGACATGAAACAGTACGTACCATGAACTTCCATGAGCAAGGTCCTTAGTTCGCAAGAGACCTGCTGGAACAAGCATCTTTGCGCACGCTGAAGGGCAAGCTTGAGCCATGGGCAACACACTTTCCTCCCAGTCCCTGGTGAAGTCTGCCACCCCCGCCTTGTGCTTGACACTTGCTTTCTCTTTGCTGCCTCTGCTCTGGGGTCGCACACGTGAACTCCGGGGTTGGAAGGCCGACCACGAGGATCACCGTAGCCTGACAGATTCGAGAAGTGAAAGACTCCAGGACAAGGAGGATGAGCCGGGGAATCGCCAAGTGAAGCATGACTTGGAGGACCTTGCTTCGAACGTCCACGTGCGACCACCTCTGTTGGGTTTGGGAGAAGTCCTTCGAAAAATCAGGGGACAGCCGGTTGATTCCGAAGCAGAGACTCTTTCCACGGAGTCCGCGCGACTGCCGGGCAAGCAGCGCATTCATGTCAAAACCTTTGGCTGCCCACACAATCAGTCAGACGGAGAGTATTTGGCTGGACAGCTAAAAGACTACGGCTACACCTTAGTGGAGACTCTTGAAGAAAGCGACGCCATAGTGATCAATTCCTGCACCGTCAAGCATCCTTCCGAGACTCGAGCGTTGAACTTGGTCTCAAATGCCCAGCAAGCGGGCAAGGGAGTCATCCTTGCAGGCTGCGTGCCATCTAGCAACAAGAAGTTGGCACAGACCCTCACAGGCGTAAGTATGCTGGATGTCACGCAGCTGGACCGGATTGTTGAGGTGGTTGAGGAAACTGTCAAAGGGAACACCGTACAACTGCTTGACAAGCGAGGAGATCTGCCCTCCCTGTCTTTGCCCAAAGTACGCAAGCATCGCTACGCGGAGATTATCACCATCAACGCGGGCTGCCTCGGAAATTGCACCTACTGCAAAACGAAGATGTCGCGTGGGAAAGTGGTGTCCTACTCCATCGATGCGATAATCGCCCGGGCACTTGAAGCCGCCAGTGAAGGAGTGTGTCAGATCGAGCTGGCGTCGGAGGATATGGGCGCCTATGGCCTGGACATTGGGACAAATATTGCCGAACTATTGCTGCGATTGTCCGATGCTTTGCCCCCTCATGTCATGCTGCGTACAGGCATGACGAACCCACCCTTCATCATGCAACATGTGGACCAGATCATTGAGGTTCTAAATCGGCCCAATGTGCATGCCTTCATGCACATACCAGTCCAGTCTGGCTCTGACCAGGTTTTGAGGGCCATGAGAAGGGAATACACCGTGGATGATTTCTCCTACTTGGCTGACCGCCTCAAAGCTGGGGTTCCTGACCTTTTTCTTCTTACAGATATCATCTGCGGCTTTCCAACTGAAAGCGAGGAGGACTGGAGGGCAACCATGGAGCTGTGCCGGAAGTATCAGTTTCAAGGCATCCACATCTCGCGATTCTGTCGCAATCGGAGCTTCTTGTTTGTGGGCCGGTTGTTGGGCTTGCATCAGCCTTTTATCAACAAGAATTTTTTGCAGTTACCAGTACTATACTGATTTTTTGCAGTAATGATCGCAGCTTGCCTCTTGCCTCGGGTCAAATGCCACACTGAAGCCCAAGGGCCTCTCAAGAATCTCTCGAACTTAGAACTGAGGCAATTCTACGCGCGGCCGGGAACAGCAGCTGCGCGGCTAAAGCCTTTGAAGAGTCATGTGGGCAAGGATCGCTATCGAGAGCTGGCAGAGCTGGTCACCTCCACCAATCGGAACGAGGGCTTGCTAGGCCGCGAAGAACGAGTTTGGTTCGCGGACACAGAGGAAGAACGATCCAAAAGTGGGCATGGGCAGACCGTCGGTCGAACTAAGACCTTTGCCAAAGTTCTTGTACCCCGCGATGACACACTCCTTGGCCGCAGCGCGCAAGTGCGCATAACTTCGACCTGTCGCCTGCATGTGGAGGGCCAAGTTTTGGGCGACGTTCGATAAAAAGGATGGCATCCGCCTGCCTGATGGTGTTTGTGTGTGTGTGTGCTCATATGTGCTCATGAATCTGATTGGAATATGTGTTTCTGTGTTGGAGGCAGCGCATGAGCAGGCTCGCATGTGGGAAAGGCCAGCAGCAAGTTCTGCATTTGTGGTCGGTTGGAAGCCGTTGCATTCAAGCTGAGGGAGTTGGAAGAAGCAGTCGAAGAGAACGAGCAACTCATAGTCGCGTGCTTATCGCAGCTGTGATGCCATTAGCACCCTACAAATGGAGGGAGAGGGAGAGAGAGAGAGAGAGAGAGAGAGAGAGAGAGAGGCAGAGAGAGATGCCGCCTCACAGGAGGACCTTGGGACTTGCGCCCTTTGGGGGCGGCTCCCGCCATGCGCAAGGAGAGAGAGAGAGAGAGAGAGAGAGAGAGAGAGAGAGAGAGCGAGCGAGCGAGAGAGAGAGAGAGAGGGGTAGGGTTTTCTGGTTTGAAGTAGTTGTTGATCCCAACCCTCATAGCACGCAGTCTGGGGGTTTCACTTGAGACCGAAACTTCGAGCGCGCCAGCGCGTGGGGGCCTTAGGGCCTTCAAGCCCAGCAGAAGAAGAAGGTATTCTGTCAAGCGAGGCGAAGAAGAAAAAGAAGAGAGATGTTGTGTTGTACTCTGCCCTACTCACCACCGAATCTGAGCCCCAGCCCCAACGCGGCCAACCTGCCGCCACTTAGAGAGCCCTCCGCAAGTGCCACGGAAAGGGCAAGACAAACAGCTCCTTCTCGGGGGGACTAGGCGTGTGGAGAGAGAGAGAGAGAGAGAGAGACGATAGCCACTTCCTTGACACGTACTGGTAATCTCTCCAGGACCCCTTTTCTGCACGCCCTGCCCTGCCCCATCGCTTGGCCCATTACGGCCCCCTTGACATAGCAAGCCTCAGCCATGGCAACGAAAGGGGGGGCGCCCCTCATGACGCCCGTGCCAGAGGAGGCCCAAAGGTTACTTGGAGGAGCCCTACACTACATGAGGGAGCTGATCCTTTGGGTGGCGAATACATATACCCCCGACACCACGCACTACATCGAGGAGCAGCTCCGACGAGCAGACACCCACCAAACCACTCAGTGGTTCCAGGCTAGCATCAACGTGCTCATGCCACAGATGGGGGTGATCTACGTGCCGCCTTTCGTGGGGGAAACCGCTGCACCGACAATGCCATCAGGTGGGGGCGAGCACCGGCCTCACCAACCTGCTGGAGAAGGGGGCAAGTACGACGAGGTCAAGACCGAGATCAAAAAAGAGAAAGAGAGCGATGACGACAAAGACAAGGCCGACTGGGGGGGCGACACGGAGGAGGAAGAAGGAAAGGACCATGCCCGGCCATGTGAAATACCATCGGCCGTGGGGGATGGACAACAACACATGCCAGCCAAAGAAGACGATGCCCGGGGGCCATGTGAAATACCATCGGCCAAAAAAGGAGAAGCGCCCACTCAACCTGGACGGGAAGAGAGAACACCACCTCGAGGAGGAGATCTACCAGGTCCACGGCCAGGGGGAGACGTGCCGGGACCAGCGCTTTGCCAAGACAAAGACGACGAAGGGGAGGAGTATGAAGACGTCTTGGTTGACCAGGAAGAGGACAGAACCCGCACCGGGGGTACACTACAAGCTCGCCGACCCGGACTTCGACCTGCAGTGCCCCAACCTACTTCAATGCCACCCTGGCAACGACTCCGAACCACCACTTTGCACCACATCACTCCCTCGACTACTACGTGGGAGACGCTCCACCAACAACAAGCCAAGAAAAGAGATTTCCCAGCGGGAGCACGACCCACGAAGACTTCACGGCAGACTAACAGAGGACCATGTGAGAGACCATCGGCCCCTACACAGCCCCGAGCCAAACAGGGGGCAAGGACGGCATCCGCAAGGACTACCTCGCAAGCTTGGGGGCAGGACAACAGAGGACCATGTGAAAGACCATCGGCCTCCACACAGCCCCAAGCCAAAAAAGGGGCAAGGACAATAGCCAGACTTACCGCTGCACCCAAGGGAGCTTCTCGGTCAAGGACACCTCGAGGGGGACCATGTGCAACACCATCGGCCCCGACAACAGCTCCAGCTCGCGACAAGCCACCGCTGCCAAGGAAAAGGAAAACCGGGGACATCTGCAGCAAAAACCGAGAAAAGCTGGGGGAGAAAGTGGCTCGCCTGGCAAACTACGACGACTCTGGCTACAACTGAGGGAGGTGGCTACGACGACAACCTCCGCAACTGATGGGCAAGAAAGGGAAACTTGTCTAGGGGGGCAAAGTCTACCCAATTTACAGCAGTGTAACCGCTTGAGATAGGAACACATTTGTCGTAACCCCGCTGCTGAACTGCAAGGGGTAACAACAACCTTTCCCAACCCCACTGCCGCACTGCAGGGGGCATATGTTAGGCAACGTGGACAAACAATGTCACCTCTTTCATTTAACCATGGCCAAGGGTGCAATTCAGGGCGGTACCCTCGATCCAACACTTTGATAGGCACCCTGGGGGGAAAAACCAACAGAGTCCCCCAGGTGCATGTTTTTACCCTACGGCCTTTCATACTTTTCTTTGCCCGTCAACATGATGGGAGTCACGAGACCTTGGACATCACGCGCCCCTTGGGGCGGCCCTCTCTTCGGGGGGGGCTACGCGTGCAGGAGAGAGAGAGAGAGAGAGAGAGAGAGAGAGAGAGAGAGAGAGAGAGAGAGAGAGAGAGAGAGAGAGAGAGACGATGGACGTGCACCGGGCACGCCTCGGCGAGAGGGGCAGAAGAAGAAGAAGAAGAGAAGAAGAAGAAGAATAAGAAGAAAGATGACAATGTTAGTTTCTGTCGGTATTGCAGCACCCCTACATTGGCCCTACGCCTCCATGCACAACACGAGAACGTGCAAGTGCATGCCACTTTGTCCTTCAATGTGGAGTAGGATGGCGGAAGGGGTCGTCGCCTTGTAAAGGCCACTGTCTTTCTCGGTTTCAAGTGCACGGCTGCCTTCTTTGAGAATTTTGAGAATCCGGCTCGTGGAACGATTATGTTGAAAAAAGGTTTCCCTGAAACCTTCCTGAAACCTAAAGCACCTGTGGGCTGGATGGTTCTTTCTCCTCGCTGGGCTTTCTCTTTGTGAATAATCGCAAAGTTGAGTGTCGTGGTGTGCCACACTGGTTCTGACACCCCTTTGTTGTGCACTTGTCTAAATGCCTCTGTGGGGATGGGGCGAGCGGCACAAGTCTGCGAGGCCAAACTGGTCCAGATGAAACCGCTTGTGAGTCAGGTCGACGACTGCAAGGCTCGTCAAACAAGAGCCGAATGTCAAGAGGGCAGTTAGTTCAAGCAGAGCCAAGCTTAGACTCAGATCAAGCTTAGGTTTCTCTCTGAGCTCGGTGAGTCTGAACGCTATGTGATACTATGTGGTATTTTGTATGGCTGAAAAGCTACAGATGCAATCGCAGACCGCAGGGCAAGATCAGGACGTATGCCGCAAAGCTCAACGAGTTGACGAGCGAAGGCAGGTTGAAATCAAGCAAACCGTAGACGGTAGGACTGACCAAGCAAAGTCATGAGGAGCAACTGCTCTTACTAACAATGGCTGACTGCTGGATGTCTCAGGTGGCAAGCGCCGTCGACTGCGTCGTTGTCAAGACCCCTCGCCAGAAGAAGCACGCAACCCTGGATCTCGCTGTTGCCAGCAGTGCCACGGTGTACACTGACATGCTTCGTTCAGATGTGCCGAGCTGGTCCTGATGTTATCACAGTTGTCGAACCTGTTGCAACGCACCCAGACAGAATCATTTGTGACTCTTACACTGTCTGCCGGCACAGGCGTGCGAGCCTGCGTCACCTTCTCTGGGAGGCAGTGGCCAAAGCTGACCCGGTTTGCTCTGTGTCTGCTTTGCCACCAAAGATCCCTTGCGCCAGGCAAACCCGTGTGGGAACCTATCGCTGGACAAGATGAAGGCGTGCATCCTGCTCAAACCAGCTCAAGACGGAAGGACCTGCAATAGCTTCCTTTCACATCCTGGTTGCACGTTTTCTGCAACATTTTGCAACCTGCGGAGGAGCCGCGCACGAGAGGGCATGAGTCTCCCCATGAAAGATGCAGCAAGCGTGAGAAGAGTGCAAAGCCCTCTCCGGTGGAGTCACGACAGTCCAGAGCTGATCCCCCCAATGCGAGGGGCGAGAGAGTGTACAAATCGAAGGAAGAGCCCCGCCCAAAGGGCATCCGCGATGTCCGGCCGGATGTGAGGCGCGAGCCCCTCACGGAGTTGAGGCAGATAGCCGGCATAGCCGGGCTTCGCATCTGGGAGCCAACAGAATCAGCGGAGCCAGCACCACTGCCGGCACCGCTGCCAGCACCACCGAGGGAACCCACAGATGCCATCGTTGCATGGAATCCACCTACGGATGCGGATCGTGGTCACCATGGACGTCCAGACGCTCTTGCTTCAAACGTTTGCCGCTCAAGCTCACGCACTTTCGAAGTGGTTCGTGCTGAGGCGAACGGTATCCCATCACCTGTTCAAAATGCCTCTGGGGCACCATGCCGCTGTGTAGTGCGAGGAAAGGAACAACGACTAGCTCTGCCGGGACATGACTGCGAGATGTGCCGCAGATTCTACGCAGCCGCGGGAGTTGGCCCCCTAGGACCAAAGTCGTCCAGGCACCGATCCGAGCACGCGCCGACAAGCACTCCACCAGGCCACCCACACGCCATGACAAGTACATACAATTACATGATATTGCATGCCATGTCACCATGTGCACTTTTAAGTGTTCAGGGCGAACAAAAGGGCACCTCTGCGAGGCTTCTGGGACTTGTCCTTTCCTGTCCACGCGGAGTCTTCACCCCAGGCCTGGTCACCTGAAGAGGATGTGAGCGGGGCGGTTAGTGTTTGAGATGAGCTGAGATTCACTGTCTCCCGGTTGCACTCGGACGAGGCCTGAAGCCACAAGTGATGCAGACCGCGGAGCTCAAGCTGCCAGATGGG